GCGCTGTCTGTCCAAAGAGGCTGCGTCGTAGTGATCTGGAGGCTGGCTCCGGCAACGGGAAAATATTCCGGAGGGGTCTCTGTCTCGAAAGTGGAGACTCCCGGCTAGAGATAGAATAGTTTTGAGCCCGTACTTGAGTAATACATTTTTATGGAACTTACTAAAGAACCCAGATGTTCATAGTTGTTGAACGCGAGTAAGCAAATCCGAAGGGGCGGTGGCGAATTAAGCTCATAGGGGCCTTCACATCCGTGCTAGCAAGTCTAATCAGTTACAGAAGACTGATAATCACCTCGATCTCTTACTTTGACTGAAATTGTTAAGCGACTCCAGGCTGTGTTAAGGAGACCCAGATAAGATTTACTGTGGTCGTGATCGGGATCCAATCTTAGTAGGGAACAGATCATCTCGTTCAGGAAAGTTCCGTGACTCGCAAGCCCAATGTGTATACCGTCCTGGTTCTTGTCGAATACGTGAGGGAGAATACATTCCCTAATGGCCGCCTCAGCTCTTCGAGCAAGGTCGTTTAGGCTCTCGCCCCCTGGGAACTTTTCGTCGCGTTCTTGGGTCTCCAGGAAAACCCCTTCCTCCCACCATTCTTCCATAGCTTTGTCTTCTAGAAGATGTCGAGGAGCTGGGCGGTGTCCTTCTGCAATACCGCAGTGCTGCTCCCGAAGATTCTGGGAGAGAGTAAAGGGGGGCTTGGGCTTAGCATGGTGTTTGATAACCGCGAGAGCCGTGGAGTGTGCACGGCTCAGGTCAGATGCATAGAAGTATTGGAATTGAGTTGAGGAGGCAAACGCATAACCAAGAACGTCCGCTTGCTATCGTTCGGGATCATGAAGGGTTTCACGAACAGGCAGATTTGGGGCTCACGCGTTCACCCAGGTCAGTGAGGGGTGCATCTCTCCATCCAGCCCAGATACCTTTCTATTGAACGCTGATGAGCAACGGAATACTAGAAGTATCGTGAGCGTGCTCACAGGATTATCTCGACTTTCTCCGTGTCGGATCTGTGGGATGATTACGATCTTAACACGTCGATGTTATTCAGAAGTTGCACTGACCAAAGTGACTGTGATCATCGCCAAGTGGCACCGGAGGTTGGAAGGAGATGGATGTCTTCACGAACTATTAACAGGAAACCCGGGAATGCACGTGTGTTCAGCAGCGATAATCAGGAATCGGTTGTCCGCGGGTGTGTCATCTACAAGCGCACAAACTGGCGTCTCATAGATCTAGAAGGTCAACGTGTGCAGCAGATAATGGTGATGACTGGTGCGCGTGGCCCGACATGAATTCATCCGCCCGGCTCTTCCGATGCACGAAACCATTTAAGGTCGGCTACTCTCGTAACACGTCTTACAAAAAGACGGAGCTGGAAAAAGTTGCTGCAGTCGATGTGGTCAGCTATGATTTGGGAGGAAGGTCACCAATGGTCATTTGAAGGCATCAAAACGTTGTAGACGTGTGATCAAGAAGGTATTCAACTAGGGGTCGTATCCACTGTCTAGTGTCATCCTGAGATATCTCAAGGGTATCGGTGCACCAATTACGCCGCAGGATCGATCGATGGTATATTCATGAGCCTCCAATGATGGTATATTCTGGATGTTGGTCTCAGCATCAGAGAAATACTCTCGAAGGCCATTGTACTCGGGAGCCGAGGCTGTTGGCTAGAAGATAATCTCGAGTCCTTGCCTGGTAGTCTTAGTGGAATGCGCCAGAGAATTCAAGCCTTTATGGTTATCAAGCGTGAATAGGCGGACTGGAAAGGGCAGCAGCCAGCCGGGATCGTTGGGGCCTTCATATTTACCCTGATAGGTCAAATCAGCCACAAAACGCAATAGAAAGTGCGGCCCCCTCATCTTGACCGAAAGCGTGATCTGACCTCAAACAAACGCAGGAATTATCTCAGAAAGATTGGCGTGATAGCTAGCAAGTCTAATGTGTACACCGCCCTGGTCCTTATCGCAAAAAATGAGGGAGAGTGTGGTCCTCAGCTCTTCGGGTGACATCGTTCAATACCCTTCCGTGCTATCTTTTGTTGGTCTGAGAGGGAAGATTCCGAGGGTGACTCCGTGCGGTGCCGCGAGGCCGTTCCAGAAGTTTCTGGGTGGTCATGAGGGGAGGGCTTGAACTCAGCGCAGGTTTTTATGACGGCGAGAGCTATGGGGCGTGCATAATGGAGGTCGGATGCATAGAAATAATGAAAACAAGTCGAAGCGTTAAGAGTACTTAGATCCAAAAGTGTCTACATGGTATATCTGGGATCAGGAAAAGTGTGATAGATTGACAAATGCCAAGAAGTTCACCTTGGGGCGGATTGATCCACCTCTATAACTGCTGATCCACCATAAACCATTCGAAGTGTCGTGAACAAAATTCGAGGCACGATCGATGCTTTCCCTGTATTGGATCCGCAAAGTAACGTACGACTTGGTTGAGACGGCTACGCTGAACAGAGTGATGCCTAGGTTGCCACGGAATAGACAAGCACGCCTTTCTTTGTGAGTCATTTCCAGCAAATCCGCAAAGGTATTCGATATCAATGCATGGTCCATAGGATCCGGGAGTTCATGTGTACACGTTATTTTGCAAATTTCGGCAAGAACTCCGTGACGCCGAGTTCTCAGTGGTGATGAATGCTCGCAGCCGCAGCACGGCGCATTATTATAGGAGCATGATGGATATATTTGTGTGACAAAGGCATTCTGCCGCGCCAATCTGAATGCATCTTTCAGGAACTGGCGGCTTGTGGCAAAAGTCCGTGAGGGACGGTGGCAATGTGATGATCACGTGTGGGCAATTGAGCTCTAGCACATTCTCTCGGTCGTGTTCATCATCTCTGCTATTACTCAGACATCTGTTCGCTCTTTATCCAGTACCACTACCATCCCGCCGAGTCTCAGCGTGTAATTTAGGGTCTCGTTGGGACAGTAATGGCTTCTATGCATGGCATTCCACTCTTGAGTGGCCCCCCGCCAAACGTCGATTCATCTGATGCATGTAGGAAGTGCAATAAAGAATTCAACATTATATTCACAAGATCGAGGAAATGTAACCATTGTGGTACGTTGTCACCGTACCATTTCCTTAGACGTGCTGACTGTGGTATACAGGTTACTTGTATTGTCATTCGTGTTCAGATTACCAGGCTCTTCTGCCTCGGGTGGGGCCAGATAGAGGTTACGATCCTGTGCATGTCTGCGCACATTGTATTGAGCTGTTGAACAGTACGCCCTGAGAATATATCTATTTCTGTAGCAAGCTAATAGCCATAACCTAGTGACTGCGGCTGGTTCAGGCCAGTTACGAGGGATGTCACTGAGCAAGCTTAAGTCATACGCTGATGCGTACAACATCAATATCAGTCGAGCGGTTGAGAAAGGCGACATCGTGGAAGCTATTGTACGCGCAAGAGTACGTCGCCCATCTCAACCATCCGTATGAACGTGATTGATCGTCTTGTAGGAGTCAAACGGATGTCTTCCTGAATCGAAGCAAGTAAGTACGGCAGGTACTAAAGACCATCAATTTCCCTGACAATTATCACAGGACTACTATCGGAAACATAAAGTACCCAATCCCCACGCAGGGACAAGACCACGCGGTTTCTTCTCGCGTTCGAACCCCACTAACTCTCCTCCTCCCGTGCCTCCTCGCCCTCCACAACAATCAGGAAATGGTCGTTCCAGGCGTCCAACGTGGAGCGATGATTCACCACCTTTACGATTTCCTCAACCTCAGGTTCCACCGCCTCAGACACAATATCAGTATCCGTCATATGGAACCCAACAACATCAACAGCCCTCACCCTATGGTCACTATAACCCAAGTTCAGAGTACCAACCGCACAATCCTAGCCATCACTACAACGTCCCGCCGTATCATCCTTCCTTCCCGCAGCCTCAGGCGCCACCTCCGCCACCTCCACAGGAAACCCGACCTCCGCCTCCACCTCGACCTAACACCTCCACAGCACATCGATCAACCTCGCGAGCGAATTCGCATCCTTCCGATAGATCGCCGTCTCAAAGACAACGCACAACTTCGACGCCTGCACAACCTTCGCCACCTCCGCCTCCGCCACCACCACCACCTGCCCCAGTGTCACCACCGACTCTCGATCAGTTGTTGCTCATGACTCATGCATCGATAGCGGCATTGCCTATCGGTGTACTGAAGAAAGTGTTGTTCACAAACCACGTAAACGCGGCGATGATACTGGAAAAGAGTGAGTTGGTGAAGAAGGTTACAGATTTAATAGAGGATGAGAAGAAAGAGCGGGAGCGGCAGAGGATGGCTGAAGAGGCGGAAAAGTTCGAGGAGGAAGAGAGGCGGAGGGAGAGAGACGAGGCGATTAGGAAAGAACAAGAAGAGAGAAGGAGGCAGGAAGAAGATGAGCGATGGAAGGAGAGGAGGGAGAGGCATAGAGCGAGGGTGGAGGAAGTACCGGATGGTGAGGAGGACATGATGGAGGTTGAGATTGAAATTGAGGATGAGGACGGGGGTGTTCGATATGGCAGGCACAGCGAAGCTGAGCCATCTGCATCGACAGCGACCCCGGGCACACCCCCAACTACCTCATCACCATCGAAGTCTTCAATGTTGGCTACTTTGGAACGCTCTGGGTTGTGTGTGATTTGTCAAGATGAAGAGGCGAATATTGCGATTGTTGATTGCGGGTACGTCCCTCTCCCGAACGAGATGATTGATTTTACTGATTTGTACTCATTCAGACATTTGGCAATGTGTCGAGCGTGTTCGGAATTAGTGATGACTAGTTCGAAAGAATGCCCGTTGTGTCGAACGAGGATAGTTACGGAGGCGAGATTGTTGCGAATATTCAAGTCCTAAGGAGAATGTATTATTATTGTGGAGAGTGTTGCGTGTTAAGATATCCTGCTTGTGTTATATTCACCTGTATACATACATGGCCATAATGGCACTGGTAGAAACGCGCGAGCCCCGAACACGAAGGGCTCAGTTCATTTGTCGGCTTCGTAGTCTAGAGGCACGATACTTGCTTTGGGTTCAACAAATATCTCAATATGCAAGTGGCCCGGGTTCGAATCCCGGCGAAGCCCCAAGATCCATTGGGTTATTTTTTGACAAATCCAGATCTTGGCACAGGCAACTCACCATTAGAGTACGTTGGAGTGTATATCCGCAGTTTCTAGATCGTTGAACGTAGTACGTACATTAATAGAGATCTTCTGACTGTAGGTGTGATAATTGTTCGTTTCATGGGAAGACCAATCGATTCAAATATAACGCGGAGATGCAAAGAAGCTCAGATCAGACGGCGCAAGGCAGTTCAGGCTTTTCTTAGCACAATCGTGAAATGTCCCTTTGGTTCGAAAACAGCACAGGCTATTCGGAAGGAATTACACATGTTTTCAGAAGGGAGATCAGTTGACCCCAAAATTGAGCTACTTGTTAGCTTATGGCTTAGGACGTTTTTGAAATTGATGACTCAAGATAGGTCATGGTCATGAGTCCAGATGTGAGGCAACTGTCAGGATCGCAAAGTCGACGATGACCCACCAGGGCCCCGAACGTAATTTTTTAAATGGAGAGACGGCTGAGCTGTGAATTTATCACAGCCGATATGTTTGAATGCTGTGCTCAAATGTTGTTATTTCTGATCTTCCTGTCCCCGGAAGAGAACATTGTGATTGGTCCGATCAAGTGGAGCCGAAGAGGAGGTCATCCCGGAAAACGGGACCTCCGAGATCAGAGCTGCGGTGATGGTCTTGGGGCAGAGAAACACCATCGGTGAAGTAGGGCTCCGGGGCATGCAGAAAGATGTGTGTGCGTGGCTATAGCAAGTAAGTACTGGTTGATGAGAACAGAGTTGAAGAGACTAGGGAAGACAGGGGGACCGAACACGAAGATCGGAGAAGACTGTGATCGTGGAGGGCTAGCCAAAAGGGGAAAGGGGGGGAAACAAGGACCTGACGTCAAGGCATCCTGTCCATAAAACAGTGCTCTCCGGTTCATTTCCCCTGCGTTCCTCCACCATGTCCGTATCCTTGTTTTCATGCCTCCCCCGTATGTTTGACTGAATCCTCCTTCTAGGTCTGAAGTAAAAGGGGCAGATTCTGCCTCTGCTAAGTCGTTCATTGCCGCTCTTGTATTTAACGCTGCTGTATTTGGCGTGGAGCTCGGCGTTTTTACACTTGTCCGACCATATTTCAAGGCCATTTATGAACCACGTACTTATGCCCCCCAACCTTCGTACGTTTCCCTTTTCCCCTCACAACTCCCTTTTGTCTGATTTCTCCTTTTACAGAAAGCGCGCGAAACCACTCTCAACAAATATACTCCTATGGCCGTTGGCAGTTTGGCGTGCCGACTATCGCGACATCAAAAATGTCAATGGCATGGACGCCTACTTTTTTGTGCGCTTCCTCCGCATGATGGTCAAGGTCTTTTTGCCCATCTGGCTCATCTCTTGGGCCGTTTTGTTCCCTGTTACGGCTGTCCGAACGTCTAGCAGTGCTAGCACAGACAACCTCAGTAAATTGACCTTCGGAAATGTTGGCGATGACGACCGGAAGCGATATAGTGCACATCTGATCTTGGCCTGGTTCTCTACATGTGAGTTGGTTCTAACCCTATCGAAGCGTGTTTTACGTAAATCTGTGCTGATTTTGGCGACTAGTTTGGATATTCTATAATATCAAAAATGAGATGCGCCATTTTATCACTACGCGCCAGCAGCATCTTATCGAGCCGAACCATGCCAAATCGCTGCAGGCCAATACAATTCTTATCACGGGCATTCCTGAACGGTATCTCAATCAACGTTCGCTGCACATGCTTTTCGAAGACCTTCCAGGTGGTGTCAAGAAAATCTGGCTTAACCGAAACCTTAAAGAATTACCGGATATCTACGATCGTCGCCTTGAAGCCTGCAACAAACTCGAGTCCGCGGAAACTACCCTTCTACGTACCGCAGCGAAATTGCGTTTGGAGGAACAAAAGAAGAAAGGCGATAAAGTGGCAGCGGATGAGGATACAGATGTGAAGAAGGACGCAGATCCTGAAGCCGCGGATATTGAAACTGCTACCTCGATCGTTCCACGCGACCAGCGTCCCACGCATCGCCTCGGTGCTCTACCCTTCACCGGAAAGAAGGTTGACACTGTCGAGTGGGCTAGGGAGGAAATAAAGGAGTGCAACAGGTTATTGGAGGAAGGTCGAGAGACTATCGAAGATGAGGACGAGGCTTTTAGTGAGGAACAAACTCAGGCTGCAGACCAGACCACCGGGAGCGACCAATCTCACAAGAAGAGTAAGTTCCGGTGTTATTCAAGTTACCTATTCAGATTAACGATCTCATGTAGGTTTCAAGCCTACTGCTGTCGTGAAAGAGGCTACTGGCGCTCTTAAGCATACCACCACTATGATCAAGGGCAAAGTCACTGCTCGCATTTCTGGTCATGGGGACATGAAATACCCTCCATTTAACAGTGCCTTTGTTACGTTCCACAAGCAAATCGGTGCTCACCTTGCCGTTCAAGCTCTGGCTCACCATGAACCTTATCGCATGAGTGAGTATATTTAATTCTAAATGGACCATGGGCTGATACTTTTGAATAGCTGCCAAGTATAATGAAGTCAGCCCCCAGGATGTCATCTGGGCCAACTTGAACATGAACCCCTATGAGCAAAAGGTAGGCTGAGGGGTTAAATTTGTGACATCAGTGGGCTGACCCGTTCTTTTCAGATTCGAGTTGCCATCAGCTATGCTTTCACTGCTGGACTCATCATCCTATGGTCATTCCCAGGTAGGTTTCTTCCGTCAGAAACTTAAGATTCCTCATTGAAATTTTTTCTAGTCGCCTTCGTTGGCGCTGTTTCCAATATCGCGGGCCTATGCGACCACTATAAATGGCTTGCTTGGATATGCACACTGCCTCCCCCTGTGGTTGGGATTATCTCCGTACGCCTTCTCTTACTTCGTGACACCACAGGAGCTGAGAAGGTGTTTAGGGTATTCTTCCGCCCGTGATGCTCGCCATCCTCATGGCTCTTCTCCCGATCGTCTTGAGGCTTCTGGCTCGATTTGAAGGAATTCCCAAATATACGGGTCTTGAGCTCTCTTTGATGACCAGATACTTCATATTCCAAGTCGTGGTAAGTGACGCGTTTCATCCGAGCGATGATTAGATTTGACACATCCGCCCATAGCACTCCTTCCTCATTGTTACACTTAGTGCCGGTATCATTGCCGCGCTCGGACCCCTCGTCAGCAACCCAACCTCTATACCCAACATTCTCGCAACGGAACTTCCGAAAGCATCCACATTCTTCTTGACCTACATCATCTTGCAGGGGCTATCTGGGACTGCTGGTGGATTCTTGCAAATCGTGCCGCTGATCATCTACTATGTCAAGCTTGTCCTCCTTGGCAGCACTCCGAGATCGGTATACAACATCAAATATGTTTTGAGGAATGTTGCGTGGGGTACGCTGTTCCCTGTTATCACACTTCTCTGTGTCATCTGTGCGTTGTTCATTTCGTATTTCACCAATTTCGTGGTCTTATTATTTCCTTGAAGCTCTCGCTTACTCGATCATCTCTCCGGTCATCAATGGTTTGGCATGCGCCACGTTCTTCGCGTTCTACCAGCTCTACAAATACGTGTTCTTATGGGTGTACGAACAAAGTCCCGCGAGCGATACCGGAGGGTTGTTCTTCCCTAAGGCCATCCAGCATGTTTTCGTCGGCCTGTATATCGAGGAGGTACGTTGAGTATCTGCATCAAGAAAAAGATGTGTTCTAATGGTGGCATCTAGATTTGTTTGTGTGCCCTTTTCTTCCTCGCTCACACTGTCGTGGAAGGCGCTCTCATGGTCGTCCTTATTGTCATCACGGCTGGCTTCCATATCATCATCAACAACTCGTACGGACCGCTCCTGTATGCGCTTCCGTTGAGTTTGAAGGACAAGACATATTCTCCCGTCGAAGGCGTTTCCGAGCACAACCATGATGTCCAAAGCAGCGGGGCTGGCAGTAGCACTCACGACGTTACCAAGAAAGACCGCGACGTTGAAGGCGATGGGGGTATTCAATATGTCGATGTTGAGTACAAGAACTCTGACAAGGAGAAGAACATCAACTCGGGTTCAGATAAGGATACTCAGCCAGATGCGATCGCGAGGCAGAAGTTCGAAGAAGACGAGTTTGGATTTGCGCATCCGGCGGTTTCGAGGCCACAGAGGATCGTGTGGATACCTCATGACACGTTGGGGTTGGGTGAGGAGGAGATGAGGGGATGTGAGGAGATGGGAATATCTGCGAGTATGCAAGGTGCGGTTATGAATGAAGGAGGAAAGGTTGATGTACCGAGGGCGGATGAGGTGCCCGAGGAGATTGTGGTCAATTTCTAATTGATGTGTGTGGATTGACTACGACTGACATACCCGGACCGTATTTGTGCTGCCTGGATCTATATTTTTCTTTCAAGTCTCAGTCTCTCGGATCTCACGACACTATTGACGTTGCTATTACTTTCTCGTCACGATTGCCTCATATACGACTCATGTTTTCTGATGTATATTTGGATGTAATTTGTTGTTTTCACGCCCCCCATGTTTTCCTTGTACTTACACTCGAGTGCACTTCACTTGTATATAATTGTAACGCATATGGACGGGCCGAGGATCGGCTGAAGGAATTTTTCTCTTTCGGATTCAACGGTACACAACATGTCCCACAAGCACTATTGATGCCAACTCCATTCACTAACGAGGCTTGACTGGACGGAGATACAAAAGGTGACCGGCATCATGCGGACACTATTCTTATAAACTTCTCCGGACATACACTGTTTACAATGCTAAATGGAGAACTACACCAATGACATATTGCGCGATAATGAAAAGAAGTGTTAATGGTTCGTAAATAGCTGGACTACGAAAGTGTCTAGACCAGGCTGCACTAAATAGAGGATGGAAGTGGGCATCTTAATATGACGTACTATACACCCCGAGTCCAAGTAGGAATACAAGAACGTCGGAGAAGCTTCTCATCATCCTCCCTACTACCGCCCCAAAACACCCTTTGGATGGCCGA